TACTACCACTACTACTCCTGCTGCTACGACGACGACGACTATACTACTACTGTTGCTAGCACTTCCTCCTGCTGCCACGTACTCCTGCTGCTCCTCCTTCTCGTTTTCTTCCTGCCAGTGCTGCTACGTACTACTGCTGCTCCTCCTTCTCGTTTTCCTCCTGCCACTGCTGCTGCTGTTCCTTCTCTTCTACTCCTACTCCTGCTCTTACTATTTCTGCTGCTGCTGCTGTGATGACAACTAGCAGCAAGACCGGTCATGATGGTCAGGTGTCAAACTCCTCATAGCAACAATCATCGAAATTGTAATTGGGCTGGCCATTGCAGATCCAAACCAACATCCAGTCTTGAACATTAGAAGCAGTGATAAGGACACCATGGTCTAACGCTGGCGCCGGCCTTCTCTGCTTCGAGCTCTGGGCTGCGCGGTGGAGGGCGCGCCTCTTTGAACAGCTCTGGGCTTCAGCTCTGGGCTTCACGTGCCTCTGAATCGAAAGAGAGATCGCCATCGCCTCCCTCCGGCCTTGTCCTGCAGATCCTGCAGCTCGCGCAGCCTTGCTTGACGCTCTTCCCGCCGCTGCGCGATCTGCCACAGCAGCGACTGCGTGACCAGGAACTAACTAGCAAGATGCAGCGTGGTCGGAGGAATCTTGCCAAGTCCCGTGTCTGGCATGCACCCGTACCCGTAATCTTGCAAACAATGCCTGATTTTCACGCCGCTGCGCATAAGCCTGCGCTTGACGGTGTCAGCACAGAAGCTTTAGAAAAGCTTGCAATTGGTACTTCAAGGTGAAGACTCCGGGCCTCGGCTAAAGCTCTTTCCTGCTGAGCGCGCTGGGACTCGAGTTCCAAACTCTGGATCCGGGCCTGTCAGTCTCGGCGCACTGTAACACGACCCCAAAATGAGCTTGCAGAGCGATATAGGGCCAAGTCTGCCGAGGCGCCCGGGCCAGGGAGCGGCGCAAGAAGACCAGCCGCTCGGCCTGTTTCAGGGTTCGGCACACGCAAGGCAGGAGACAGCGGGATGCCAGAGCTGTTTGGGGTTGAGCGCGCTACTTGGATCATCATCATCATCATCATCATCATCATCATCGCCACCGTATCTATCATAGCTGTAAAGTTTATCTGCGTGAGTGAAATTCTTGCATTTACGTGTGTGTTTGTGTGTGTGTCTCTGCATCTGGTCGAAAGTGCATGGGTTGGTCGGGTGGAGTCAGGGCACGGGGAGTGCGCGAGCGAAAGCCGGGCGAGAGCGAGCCAGTGAGGGTGAGCGAGGCATCAGTGACTTCGTGTGTGTGTGTGTGTGTGTGTGAGCACAAAATTACTGAACTGTTGCAGAGAGTAGGTTGAGTCCAGCTTGATCTTCGTGACATGCTGGGCGGGGGGGGCGGGGTCGGGTCAATCCACAACGCGTTTTGGCCAATGCCCTGCCCGGCTGCTCAAGCATGTTGAAGCAAATAGAAATGAGTAGACACGACAGGCTTGATGCGCAGCTCTGGTGACTCGAAGTGGACAAGGCAGACACACAGGCCACTCAACCGAGGAGATTCATGGCATGATGCTCCGCAAGCAGAAACGGGCAGACAACAGAGAATTCGAACACTCGTGCCCCTGCAGATGCCTGCCTCTGTCATGCCATGTAGAGCATCTAGATCCTGAAGTGACGGCGGTCAGAGGACACGATTCCCAGCACATAGCAGCATCAACTGATGCTCTCACTGCTTTTTGCATATGGGCCACTGCACTGGGGCCGAAAAGAAAATCCGGCCGCAGCAAGCCAGAAGTCACTCAAGAGTCAGGAGACTAGCACTGTACTCAACTCTGAGTCCTCTACGACGGCCCAAAAATGCCATGGTCTTAGGTTCGCTTCCATGCCTTGCGCTTCAGCTCTTTCGAGCGCCAGAAGCAGCGCTTTTGCAGCATGTCTCCCTTGTCAAAGTATCCGGGGCAGCTGAACCATCCTCCCAAGCGACTCCAGTGGACCTGGCCATGCGTGCAGCGTGGGCAGGCCGGCAAAGAACCAAGCACACGACCTTCAGCGACACGAGAGACCAGATCCTCTTTCTTCCCTGTTCTTGTCTGATTGTTTTTCTGCAGCTCGGCTATCAAGACGGCCGTAGTGCACGAGCTGAGTTGATCTTCCAGCGCTTGGATCTTCTTGAACTGTGCTGGAGTGAGCACTCCCTGCACGGAAGTGAGTTTGGACAACGGCGCCGTGGCCGCGGCCGGGCGTTTCATCTTCGCGGCCTTCGCGGTGCTTTCGGTTCCTGCCTCTGCCTTGCGTTTCCCCGAGTCCTTGGCACTTTTGCCGCTCTCGCCTAGTATGCCTTTCCACAAATCTCGCAGCTTCTTCTGATCCGCCTTCTTCAGGGCTTTGAACCCGTCCAGCTGGTCGGCTGATTGAGGCAGATTTGCAGACATCCATTTGGAACCTTTCATTCGTGGAAAACACTCAAAGTGGTGCCATCGCATTGCAGCGGCAAGCGCCAATGTCTGAGCATCGACTTCTTTACCCCCGGCTGTAATGTCATTCTCGGCCACCATCTGGGTGTGGCCCACTCGAAGCGAATCTTTCACAATTTTCGCCATGCAAACTCGACACGTGCTCATGCTCGACTTGGCATATTCCACTGAGAAACAGTGTGTTTTCGGCATGGCTTCCGACCAAGGACACACAACAGACTGGCTACCCTAGATCATGTAAGGGATTCTATATCTATGCTCTCCCTGCGTGTACCTTGCTCACCGATATGTCCAACAAGAATCTCTGTGGTTCTGTCATGCTGTTGCTGCGAGCAACATTACAAGGTCTTGCAGCTCCGATGCGTCGGAGAACTCTTAGTCCGAAAGATGCCCCTGACCGGTGTCCTCCTCTTGCTTCCGCTGCCGTGGCTCCGACCTCAGCTTGCACACGCTGACAGCTCGTCGCTCAGCGAAAGCAACGGGAGCCGCAACATGCCACGGGACAGCTTTGCAAAAGCGAACTATCAGAGCGATTCTCCGAGCCATGTCTGTGTGTCTGAGAGGTAGGAAGTGGAGAGGGAGAGAGGGGAGGGAGGGAGAGAGAGAGCCAGACCGCCAAGAAGGCCGAGCGAGGGTCCGGGTCGGCTGCGTTCCATCCCCGAGTCGAGCAGCCATGGCCGAGCTGTTGAGGACTACATGCCAGCAACCAGCTTAGACTTGGCTTACCCTTCAACTCGCTTTGCAGGGCGTGAGGGCAATGAATTTACAATGCTACGGCAGCTGCTGTAGGACTGTAGGACTCTCCTTGGTTGAAGTTTCGAGATGTCCATTGAATCAAAACGCGGCTGCACTTGCACCTTTAGATCGAGGTCGAATCGACAGTATCAAGACGGGACAAATTTGCATGCAACCTTCCCAAAACAGGATGAAGGGATACACACGTGACACGTGTGTGTGTGTGTGTGTGCGTGTTTGTTTTTGTGTGTGTGTGTGTGCGTGTTTGTTTTCGTGTGTGTGTGTGTGTGTGTGTGTGTGTGTCTGTGTGTGTGGGTGTGCGTGTGCGTGTGCGTGTGCGTGTGCGTGTGCGTGTGTGTGTGTGCGCGCGTGCGTATGCACATGCGCGTGCACCCCTGCATCAAAGGGCTACGTAACAAGGAGTTGCAGGGGGGTGCAAGGGACAT